TCCCACCCTCATAAAAATGCTCTGATGACAGTGCCTATTCCAGACAGCACTGTCACAGTTTGGCTACACCTGTGAAGTTGTGCACTCTCCAGTAATCCAGAAGAAGTAAAAATTCATTGTATGGGATCCATCAGTGCAAACAACTTCTAGTCCCTTGTATCATTCATGCCCAGTGTTTGACAGCGTGTTTCTAACACCAGCAAAGAGTTTGTATTTGGCGTGAAAATGATGAACAAAAGACCTAAGTGTTTGAAGACATTATATATTGGAGAAAGGGGGGAAATCAGGGACTTGAGGAGCAGGGGAGAGAAGATACAGCTGCAGCTGTGGTAATATTTGGTAACAATACTGGTATGGTTTCAATGCACTTGACCAACACTGAAGGATTTTGAGTTGAACTATGCAAATGCATGTAAGTATTGGTGTGCTTAGCTCCATGCAGATTAAGCTGCCATGCCTGGGTGACTCTATAGGAGGCACTAACCACCTGCAGACAAGATAGCTCTGTTCTAGATGGTTTAAAAATAAGAATATACCAGTATTCACAGTGAATGGCAGTCAGTAGGCCCCCTAAACAGAAGGAAGAGAAATGGAGCAGGAAAGGGAAGCAAAAGGTGTTCATGAGGAAAATGACTCATGGGAAAGGTAAGCAGAAGTAAATTTAGAGCACTAGAGATAAAAAGGAGTTTGGCAAGCCCGAAACTCAGAAGGAGCTCACCTCCTTGAGTAGGATTTCAGATCTTGGTTATTCCCATCCTTGCCCCCTTAATTAATCTCATAGTTAAAACCTAAAAACTGCCAGGGTTATTTTTTTACCATTTAACTTGCGTAAGATGGACAACTTGCTTTTGGAGAAATTGCAGGAAATAAATCTCTATTATGAATATCACCTTCCATATTTTGAAAGAAAGCCACAATGCTCTGGTCAAGGGATAGCAAGTTATGCATTTTAATAAAAAAAGGTGCAAAAAATATTTTCATCTAGCTCCTTCATATGGTACTGACGAATGTCATGAAATAATAAAAATCTTCTGTATTTGTGAATGGCATAAAAATTTAATGTCAAACGACATCAGGACTCTGCTAGGCATTTTAAGGTTTCTAAATGCCACGAGAAATTTTATCCTTTATTTACCATGAGAAATGATATTAGTCATTTGAAGAGCATATTCATTGGCAGGAAAATCACTTTAACTCTTTGTTTCCCAGTATTTCACCCTTTTCCTGCTATAAATATAAGAGATTTTCTCTTGCTCACAACTTGGTATAACCTTTCATGTTCCTGCAAAGGGATCAAAGAGTAAGACATAAACATTAACTGGACGATTGATTTTTTTGAAAGTTATTCAATGCTGCTCACTACTACTAAAGAAGAATTGCTCCACAGAGTTTAATGGCATTAATTTTGCAACAAATCATAGAATCATAGAATAGTTAGGGTTGGAAAGGACCTCAAGATCATCTAGTTCCAACCCCCCTGCCATGGGCAGGGACGCCTCACACTAAACCATATCACCCAAGGCCTGGTCCAAACTGGTCTTGAACACTGCCAGGGATGAAGCATTCACAACCTCCCTGGGCAACCTATTGCAGTGCCTCACCACCCTAACAGGAAAGAATTTCCTTCTTATATCCAATCTAAACTTCCCCTGTTTTAAGTTTTAACCAGTTACCCCTTGTCCTGTCACTACAGTCCCTAATGAAGAGTCCCTCTCCAGCATCCCTATAGGCCCCCTTCAGATACTGGAAGGCTGCTATGAGGTCTCCACGCAGCCTTCTCTTCCCCAGGCTGAACAGCTCCAACTTCCTCAGCCTGTCTTCATACGGGAGGTGCTCCAGTCCCCTGATCACCCTCGTGGCCCTCCTCTGGACTTGTTCCAACAGTTCCATGTCCTTTTTATGTTGAGGACACCAGAACTGCACACAATACTTCAGGTGAGGTCTCACAAGAGCAGAGTAGAGGGGCAGGATCACCTCCTTCGACCTGCTGGTCACGCTGCTTTGATGCAGCCCAGGATACAGTTGGCTTTCTGGGCTGCGAGCGCACACTGAAGCCGGCTCATGCTCATTTTCTCATCAACCAACACCCCCAAGTCCTTCTCTGCAGGGCTGCTCTGAATCTCTTCTCTGCCCAACCTGTAGCTGTGCCTGGGATTGCTCCAACCCAGGTGTAGGACCTTGCACTTGGCATGGTTAAACTTCATGAGGTTGGCATCAGCCCACCTCACAAGAGTGTCAAGGTCCCTCTGGATGGCATTCCTTCCCTCCAGCGTATCAACCAAACCACACAGCTTGGTGTCACTGGCAAACTTGCTGAGCGCGCACTCAATCCCACTGTCCATGTCAGGGACAAAGATGTTGAACAAGACCGGTGCCAACACCAATCCCTGAGGGATGCCACTTGTTACTGGTCTGCAGCCGGACATTGAGCCATTGACCACAACTCTTTGTGTGTGGCCATCCAGCCGGTTCTTTATCCACCGAGTGGTCCATCCATCAAATTGATGTCTCTCCAATTTAGAGACAAGGATGTCTTGTGGGACAGTGTCGAACGCTTTGCACAAGTCCAGGTAGATGACCTCAACTGCTCTACCCCTGTCCATCAGTTCAGTAGTCCCGTCATAGAAGGCCACCAAATTAGGCAGGTTTTCCCCTTAGTGAAGCCATGCTGGCTGTCACCAAGCACCTTGTTGATTTTCATGTGCCTTAGCATGCCATCCAGGAGAATCTGCTCCAAGATTTTGCCAGGCACAGAGGTGAGACTGACTGGTCTGTAATTCCCCGGGTCATCCATTTTCCCCTTCTTGAAAATGGGGGTTAAATTTCCCCTTTTCCGGTCATCAGGAACTTCACCTGACTGCCATGATTTCTCAAATATGATGGCCAGCGGCTTCGCAACTTCATTTCCCAGCTCCTTCAGGACCTGCGGATGGATCTCATCAGGACCCATGGACTTGTGCACATTCAGATTTTTAAGATGGTCTCAAACCAGTTCCTACATACAGCTCTGACTGCACTGACCAGATTACTGTTGATGTTAATGGGATCCCAGACACCTATCTGATACAGACAGACCTGCATTAGAAACAGCAATAATTAAGAGAGCTGAAGTCACTCCTTCCGACAAAGCAAGTCAGTCTGTGCTTTACCATACTAAGCAAGGTAAGACAAATAAGAAATAGGTACTGCCATGGTGCTGTTCATCTGATCTCTTAAAATTGGCTCATTTATCATGAGATGAATCATGTCCTAGCCGTCACTGACCCAACCAGCCAGCTATCAAGTGACTGAAACCCCTGGATGACAGATGCAGAAAAATACACTTAACCAGAGGAAATTCATCCAAAGCAGTGTGAAATTGCCTAGAAGGCTGCTGATCTTGCCAACTACAAGGCTAGATGACATTTGCTAAGCTTTGCTCAAAGAAGAGCACAAAAGCCAGCAGCCATATTACAACATGGGTATGCAGGAAAGGGCCATGGGTTGGCTTGTTTTTGAGGCTCTTTCTTGGCCTGGAACATTAAATGCACAGAGAGCCCAAGTCATGTCCTGACTGCTCTCAGTGAAGTCTGGACTTCTCTCATGATACGAATCATTCACTTGCCTAAGCATAGGTTTTTTTTGAGATACCCTTAACTTATCTGAGAGACCCAATGACACATGTACTACAGGAGAACTGCACCTTTCTGCAAGGGAATGTGGTGCCCTGGGATATCTCGGAGAGTAGTACTTGCCCCTGAGTGGGCAAATTTATTCAGTCTCATAAGCCCATCCTACCACACAGTTAAAGGCATTCCACTTTCATATATACAATACAAATGTGTTTGTGTGCATATATATATATGTAAAATCAAATATATAAAATACTTTCCTCATTGCTCTGGTGGGATGAAGTATAAAAAAAATTAGTTTTTTTCTTCCTGTTTATCTAACTCTGTCAGCTCTCTAAAACCCAGCGAGCAAATGTGCTAAGAGAGGACACAAAGCATCAACAGCCACCAATTATTCCACATGGCTCAACCAATGTTCAGAGTCTCATCCTGCAAGATGTGATATTACAGCAGCTTCTGCCTGCTTTCTCTGCGATGATGAACTGCAGGTGAATTTTGGAAACAGCAAGGTTACAGCACTAGGATAGGACTCCAGGATTTTGAATTTCCCGTCTGGTTCTGCAAAGACTGTTGGCGCGGCCTTGGGCAAGTCATGTAATCAGCATGTGCGGGTTAATCAGTGGAGTGCCGTGGTCTGTTAAACAGGGACAGTATTGTATCCTTTCTCTCATTCATAATCTATCATGCGTGTTTGGACTGCAAGGCTGTAAAAGTGGAGACTTATCAGCTTGGTGCATACTCTTCAGTGCAAAAGCATTTAATTCTCTGTGGAGGCCTGCAGGAATGCTATAATAAAAATAGTAAATAATGACTACGAACTACCAGGAGACAAAGAACCCTGTTGCTGCACTGCCCTTGAGACCTGAGTTTTAAATTAAGGTTTCCCGGAACATCCCGAACAGTGAGTTAAGCTACTTTCCCCATTAACCTTCCCCACTGAGTATTTGCCAGGTTAATTTCTTGGCCTGTGGCCAAATCTGTCATTTCAGCAGAAAAATACTTTATTATGTACAGTTTCAGATTGTTTATTTTATGTCAGTGACTTAATTAATTACGGTGCTAAACTGTTTTGTTTTGTACAACAAACATACTATTATACAGGTTGATTCAATTTTCACTGCATAACATCCTTATTACTAGATTTCACCAGGAGCCATTTTTGCATCTGTATGATCCAGAGCAATATGTGGTGCTGCACGAAGGATAAGGAGGTTGCTCTAATGGTTTGGGCATTCATGTATGACTTGGAAACCTCCTTTACCTTCTGCCAAGAGCTTGTTTCTCCCTCTGATTATACCAAGAAGTATGCCCTGGGATATGATATGAAGCCCCACAGGCAGTGAAGCCATAAACCCACTTCAGTGCAATGAGCTGTCTGGTTTTTCTTACCAAGAAAAGTTGTGAGGAATCTGAAGTACTTTGGGCAAGGCCGTACCACAACTTCTCCCACCTCCGCTTCAGGCCAGCAGGTGATGTTGTCCCATTGCCTTCTGCAACCTGGGGGAAAAGAGAAAAGCAGATGGTAGAACTAAGCACAAGTGGGATCTGCTGGATGGAGCAGAGGAATTGGGGCAGAGCAGCTGTGCAAAAGTGAGTGGAGCTTATCATCTTGGTGCAGGCACCTTCTGGAAGGAAAGGCAAGAAATATTTTCTTTAAACTCATAACGTTAATCTACCCCAATCCATGAAATTCAGCAGTGGTGTTGTCTGTAATATTCCAAAAATATTACAGAAAGAACAGTAGATCAGTGCAAGAACTAGGCAAATCAGAGTTAATAGAGAACAGTGCCTTTTTTTAAGATGAAAAAGGCAGAAATGCCTAATTAAGTATCTCTCTTCCTTGCCCTTAGCTCTCCTTGTTGCATTAAAACACCTGGTCTGAACATGTGAGATGTGCTTTCCTTCCTTCAAACTTGGGTCACTACCTTTTTCTTCCCCTTGAAATGAGATGATTGCACAGGGGATGTGCTCAGCAGGGAAGGGATGCTGATGACAGTCAAGAGATCAGGAGCCAAATCCCTTCCCCAGGAGCATTTTTTCTCCCTAAAAAAGGAAGAAGGAACAAAACACTCCTGTGGGCTGACGAGGGACAGTGCTGCTGTCAGGGGATGCTCTCTATGGAAGGGTGGCACAAGGTAGTACGCTCCTAGCTGTCCAACCTAGGAATGAACACATAACCAATGCTGCTAACTTCAGGGAGAAAACTTCAGGGTTTGTTATAATTAAGCATTTCTGAAGATTTTCTGCATAGAATAAAAGCTTTCTGGGAGAAAAAAAATTGCATGTCCTTCCTACAGAATTATACTATCTTGTTCTGATTTTGCCCTTTAATTTCTGCTTTCACAACAGACATTAATGATGTCACACACATGCTGCACTGTTGAATAACACAACATTAGAACTGAAGCCAAAAGGACCTGGTAGACCTGAATTAAAACAAACAAACAAACAAACAAGTCATGTTTTTGCCTCAACATATTACATATTTTAGAGTTCTTACTAGAATTTTGAAAACTTTTTTTCCCCCTTCAGGCACATGCACTTCAATTGCTGCCTTGGTTAGATAGACAGGTTGTCAACAGATCTCACTTTTTTTATAGCACCTCTACTCTCAGATATTTGTCATGCCCGATTAGATTGCAACACTTCCCCAAATGTGACTAGCATGTTACTGTTAAGGTTAACAGCATAACAAGAGGAACTAGACTATGAAGAAGAAAGCTTTGAGAAAATACTTTTCACATGCAAGTAAAGGGAACTATGAAAACCATTGTCAAGCTGCAGTTCTTGATAATTATATCCCAATCTGAAATTCCTCCTTTAAATCATTTCTCACTACTTCAGCTAAGAAAAAGGCTGGTGTCATCACCAGTCTGCTCAGACTGAGACAGTGTGCTGTCTCAGATCAATAAAGAGAGCACATGAAAATGCTTTGAAGCTGAAAAGGATCCCTCAGCTCTCTTTCAAAGTTATTTTACACGTTTTATTTTTCTTCTTTCATGAGCAAACAGAACTTTTCAAACAAAGTCCTGAGGTGAGTTTATCGGAGCCTGAGAAACAGAATACCTGGCGGTATCTTCCTCGTGCATGCTTTTCTGTAGAGTTCATTAAAATTCAGGTTTCAAATATCAGGTTCAAAGCTCAGTTTCCAAAGTGTCATCTGCCACCAAACAGCCAGCAGCTCCAAAAGTATTAAGATATGAGCTATTCTGCCAATGGAAAATAGATGATTTTGTGACAAGATCTTTCATGTTCTACAATCTTTTCCTCCATCAACCTCAATAAATTATAATGCACCCATTACCTCAGGACAGGTAATAAATTATAATGCAAAATAAAATACAAGGTGATAGTATCAGATGGCTTTTTAAATGTCCTGAATTCTGCATTTTCAGAATTTTTGTGATCTTTATCTGTTTTTGTGTTAGCATTTTTCACCACAACCTGTGATGCATGAAAAAAAAGCTTTTAGGTGCTTACTTTTGTAACAAAAGCTCTCTTTAATTAAAATAATGTTAAGACACACAACACTGGCCTTGCAAGACACACAAAGTGGATGTTTAAACATTGTTGCCTCTGTAAAGACCTGTAAATACCTACTGGCTCTTCCAACACTATTCTTCCTTATTGCCCCACCATATGGGCTGACAATATTTGTGCAGCTGCCTAGAAGGATCCAGGTGGGATTTAGATCCCTAAATTTATACATCTAAAAGTCAGATCTAAAGAAGCCAACAGAAACCAGAGCTCTGCCTGGCAGTTCATGTAGTTCACTGTACGATGGATATCTAAAGTTAAGAAAATGAATCATTCTTTGGAGATACCATCTTCTCTCCAATGACTGGGAGACAGCCTGCATAAGCAACTTGAGTTTAATGAACTGGAACAATACAAAGACTGATACCGACAAGGGGCTTTGCATTTGCAGTTTAACACTTGCTGCTCGCCCAGTAGTCATCCCATGACAACATCTTACAAAAGTCTGTGCCTGTCCATCCAGAACACAATCATTACCAAATATCATTTGAGAAAATGTTTTTGTTTCTCCAAAATTGATAGACCTTACCCTGGCAAACTGCTGGGCTCAGGGGGTTGGCAGGCAGTATTCTGTCATGTCAGCATGACAGACCAATACTTAAAAAAACTATTTGAGGGCAGAAACAGCTGCAGTGTGCTTCAGAAAAAGGAAATCCCTCTTCCCCGTGGCATCACTTGGCCTTCACAAATGTAGTAAGGATGAAAATTTGTTTCGTCTGATCAAATCATGTTTAGTGATTGCTAAGTGCTTTTCCATTAATTCATTCTGAACGTTGCCTTTTGTTGCCCCCCTTACACTCAGCATCTGTAGGAAGGATGCAGAGGTATTTAACAGTTCTTACCCAAGGCAGCAGGTACAAATGAGCCATGAATACATGTGCCCTTCAACTCCACTTCAATAAAAAGAACTGTTCTGCTCATTTGCTTGTTATTGAAAGCTGAGGAATACACACTGCCAAGGGCTGTGCTTTGCTTTGGAGAGGATCACAAATGGAGAAGCAGTATGAAAATAAGCATGTGACTTTCAAGACAGTACCGTTTACCACATCCCTCGGTAATCAGGTACAGTCTTTAAACTTTTCTCATCATAAATACGTATATATATGTACACATATATGAGTCTTTTCTTTTTCAATTATTTTAACTGCAACTTCCATATCTCAGCTTTGTCCTGCTGTTGCCTGGTAGATCATGAAGTGCTCTCTGGAGCCAAATATCTTCTTCTGGAGGGCTGCAGGGGGAAATCCTTCAAGATTCTAACAAATCTGCCTCTTAACCTTCAGATAAGCAGATCAAACTGCTCATCATTGCCCAGCAAGCCACACAATTAAATACCAGCAGCCACCTCTCACCCCCTTAAAGCAGGCTTCTGAAGTCTTGCACAAGGTATGGGCTGGAGGCTGTGTGCCACACACAGAAACTGTGACCTTTACGTCCAGCAGCTCCCTCTTTGCAAGCCAAATGCCCCAAGTGCAAGCCAAAGGCTGCGTTAGCCTCAGCCAGGCTTTCCAGAGCCTTTCTCTAAGGAGTTCTGCCTCAGAAGTGGCTGAAGAACACTGACACAGTCCTGGCTGCAGTGGGTTAGAAAACTCCACCACAGCTGCAGAAAGTGGAAACCTTTTCCACTGTACCTGCTAAAAGCAGATCAAAGCTCAGGCCCTCATTTCCTCTCTCTTTATAAGGTTAATGAACAGAAACAGGTCAATTGTCATGAGGCTTGGGTATACAGCGGTTTTTGAACTGGCAGACCAGAGTGCAAAACCCATTTATTTGCGTCATATCTACACTTACAGCAAATACATGGTGAAAGCTTATCTAGGAAGCAGCAGAGAGTAACTTTCCTTCATGAATAAACATGACTTCCAGAGCTCTGGCAGGGCTCTAAGATGTGACTAGGTTTCGCTGAGGGAAGAAATGAATGGCAGTAGGATTGTGCCAGGCACTTTCTTAACACAGGTAAACCCCCAATTCAGAAAAATATAAAAGCTTTCAGCACATTTATTATTTGCACTAAATTTTCCTTGATGAATGGTGTCACTCCTGATCTCTTCTGAAGGTCATTCACACACAAGACTTCTGCTCATTCGATCCATGTTCAGATGCAAAGATACCCATTTGATGCCTGAGGTATCTTGGGATCTCTGCACGCCTCTCACTACCCACAGGTTGGTAATAGCAAGGCAAAGGGCTTCATTAAGCCAAGCTGAGATATCCCTCAGGGTACTGGCTGGTGTGCTTGCAATGGAAATTCATTTTCACTCCAAACTGATGTCAGCAGGCAGTTTCCAGCCTCTCTGGAGTTAGGACTGTAAAGAGATATCGGGTGACATTTGTCCTCTCACTGACAAGCTCATGCAGAAATGCAGCCTAGGTGCTCACCTGTGGTTTGCCCAGTTTGGTCTCATTACAACCAATTAGCAACCTTCTTATCCCAGATGAGCCCTAAGCTTTTGCCTGACTGAGGAATACAGATCCCAGAAGATGGTCCCTGCAACAATCTACTAACTTGGTTCCAGACAGGCAGCTTGAATTCAATCCCAGTAGAGGTTAGGAAAACCCATCATGAGTGCTGGGTTACTACTACTGCCCCAGACTCCAATGAGCAGAGAGCTCCTGAATCAGGATAATCTTCCATCTAAATCTTGAAAGTTCTATGTAATAATAAAAAATACCTTAGATAGGTTCTTTTTCTTCCGTAAATTTTTAATTAAATTCAATTTCATTTTTCTTCTGAATCTCTGGAAATTTTTAAAATTCACAACCTCCTCGGCCAAGGAGTTGCACAGTTTAAGTGTCCACTGAAAAAAGCTACAGCCTTCCTGAATTTGCTTTGAACCTGCTCATTGCTGGTTTCATTAGGAATTGCCTGGTTCTTTTACAAAGACAGAAATATTCATGATCTAACTACAATACCCCTTTCCCTGGAGAGAAAAAAACATAAAATCCTCTTTCATGTCCTT